GTCTCCCCTCCTTGCCCCCTAAACAATAACCAAATTCAACACACCACATCTGGCTTTCTAAGAGTGGGAAGGGTACCCGGGGCAAAAGGAGCTGCAGGATCTAGCTCATACGCATGGCAGGAGCTTGAGGTGTACAGACAGGCTGGATTCTGAAGGTGCTGGGTCCAAGGTATGGAAGATTAACTTGGATAAAAGAACGTGGATGTGCAAGCCATCTCCTATGCTGGACTGGCTTCTGAAAGCCTAGACAAACAATGACCCACACTAATCAACAATTCCAGAACTGCATTTGCAAAGGATAAAGAAAGGATCAAAAGATTCCGATAAGGGGACATTCTAGGACAGATGGCTTGCACAGGTCAGGAAACACATCCCAGTAAAAATCCATCATCCTTGGCCTTTTGTCTCTATACCTGTGGCAGTTGTTAAACTCAGAACCCAATGACTGAAAGAAAAGAGCCACGCCCTCTCAAGGATGCTCCCAACAGTGATCCTCTCCATAGTCTCTTTTCTTGAGGACCTATGGTCATTTATTTAGAGAAAAATTACTCTGGGGAAAAGGGCTGCACGAGCATGCAAAGACTGTTGCACTCACTGTCTGAGTTGATACCTAGGGTCCGAAGCTTCATCATGACCCTTTGATAGAGTGGGAGGATGTGGGGGCAGATCACAAATACAGCCCTGTCCCAGTGGGTTTCCTGGCTTCACAGATCTTTCTCATGGGTGTACCACTGGTCTCTGCATGTATAATTGGTGCAGATACATATTGGTTTCTTGGCTGGTTGTATAAGAGCTAATAAAGTGAGATCCACAAATGAAATCCTCTAAAACTTCTCCCATCCTGTTACCAGAGAGTAGATTTCAACATTCTATTCTGGATGGAATGGCAAACATTAGTACAGGTTGAGTGTCTCAAATCCAGCGATCCAAAATGCTCCAAAATTTGAATTTTGGGGGCATTGACATGATGCCACACATGGAAAATTCCACACCTGACCTCGTGTGACAGATTCAGGCAAAACACACAGTCAAAACTTTGTTTCATGCACAAAATCTTTAAAAAATATTGCATGAAATTAACTTCAGCCCATGTGTAAAACATGTAGATAAAACATAAATTAATTTCCTGTGCAGACTTGGGTCCCAACCCCAAGATATCTCATATATATGCAAATATTACACATTCTGAAAAATCCAAAATCAAATACACTTCTACGTCCCAAGCATTTCAGATAAGAGAGATTCAAGCTGTACTGCCCTTAAAACTTATAGGATGCATGGCTGATGGTCTTTATCTTTTTTTTTTTCCATTTAATTAAGCAGTGTGTGCCCTAAAAGACTGCTTCTAGAGACTGACAGTGGACTGCCGTCGAGTTAAACAAGTGCTGATTCCAACTGCAGCTGTTACGCCAAAATATGAGCTCTTTGCTTTAGTGGATTAACATAGACGCAAATGCACGTTTTGCAGTCCCTGATATGGTGTTCTTTTCCATCTCTGTCAGGAAGCGGAACCAAGAGTTGTTAGCATTCTGATGATGAAAAGAGTACAGAGTTGTGATCTTGCTGAAGGCCGTGCTAACTGTTGTCCTTTGTCAGGATATAGTCTGAAGGGACCCAGTTAATCTGGATAACCCACACACCATCCCATTAGTAAATTTTGTTGATGATACCATGCTAATGAGAACAGCGAAGCAAGAAGATTCCGGGCACACCGTTATCATTCAAGTGCTTAGGGGCTCAGTGGTCTGGGACATTCTGGCATGTGCCTACTTATAACAAAGGACCGATTATTACATCTCACACTTCCCACCACTGGGAAGGAAACATCGTGCCATATTGGCTGTTTAAGCTTCTGGGGATAGCATATTCCATACTTGGGACTACTGCTCTGAATCACACGTTGAGAGACAAGGCCAGCTTTGTGCACAGCAAGTCCAGGCTGCAGTGTGGGAAGCCCTGTTGCTTGGACCATACAAGCGGGTAAAGCCAATGGTTTGATTAGGGGTATCTGTGGTTTGAAAAGATGCCGACGGAATTCATGGCAAGGTCTAATAGACAAATCGCAATGCAGACCTACAGGGGACTGGAGCAAGGCGATGTCATGTGCTGCAGAGAATTATGCACTGCTATGAAAACAGCTCCAGCAGAGACAAAGTCCTTGACCACGATGTCAGAGCCAACCATCGTGAACTGGATCCTGTTAGAGCCACCGAGTCATAATGTCAAGCAGGCCCAGAAACAATCCATCATGAAAAGGAAGGTCTAAGATTCAGCTGAAGCATGTCTAGGGGGAACGAGCAACCTCCACGAGCAGGCAGCTCAGACCCACGACATCCACCACAGTGGCGGGAGTACCTCACCCTCAACTACCACACGCAGGGCATGTGCAGGCTTCGGAATACCAGCTATGAAGAAAAGAGAAGGAGGAGTTAGTTCATTCATGGGTCATTTCAGCATCTGAGTGCAGTCTGAAGACGGGCAGCAGGTCACAACTTAAGGGTGAGTCTGAAAAGAGCAGAGAGAAGAAATCTTCCCAAGGGGCAGAGTTACAGGGTGGCTGGTTCTCCACGTTGCGTGGAGAGAAAAGCGGCTGAGGTAAGAAAATACGTGGGCCCATGGGCAAAGTGAAGAGCTTAGCTAGTTAGGCAGGGACAAGGGGATGAAGGGTTTGACTGGAATACCAGGGAAAAGGAGGTCTGAGGAATAGGCATGTGGGTGAACTTGGGAGACTTGGGGTGAAATGGGAAGGTCTTAATCTTGCATGAGAGCAGTCACTGAAGAGCATTTCCAGAGGAGGCCTGAATCCACCCACAGGCAGCATGACCCGGCCAGGTGGAGCCGTCTGGTCTGTTTTCAACCTTCCCAGGGCTGGCCCAGTAGGGTCATTGATGGAGTAGCATTGGTGGTGGGCATTGAACAGGCCCAGTTAGCTATGCCCATAGCCCAATGTCCAATCTGCCTCCAAAAGACATCAATGCTGACAATGAATCCTCCCAACAAGGCTGCATTCCTGCATTCCTGGAAGAAACCAACCAACCACCGGACCTTTCCACTGTAGAAGGAGCAGTAACTGAACTTGACTGGAGCAGACATGAATTCTGGACTTGAATTTGCCTTCTCTGCCTTCAGAGCCTCAGCCAGGACCACTGTCTACTGGACGCCATGCAGAGTGTCTGCTCGGCCAACAGGAAATCCCCATGCATCTCCCGGGACCAAGGAACCCACTTAGGAAAATAACTGTGGGACTATAATCACAAGATTCACTGATACTATCACACCACACAGCCCAGAAATTGCTAGCCTGATGGAGCAGTGAAATGGCCTTGTGGAGGCATAGCTGAGAGGCCAGCTCGGAGGTAACACCTGCCAGGATGAGTGTCTTCCTGGGAGGTATCATGCCCAATAAAAAAATCATTAGAGAATGCTATGTCTTCAACAGTTTGAATGCAAGGATCCAAGAACAAAAAAGGTACAGTTAGGGGGAGCTTGGTTTACCATAATTCTCAATGACCTACTTAATGCATTTGTACATTTATTACCCCAAATCTAGGTCCTGTGGGTCTGAGGATCTTGGTTCCCAAGGAAACAATGCTTTCACTAGGGTACATGGCAAGAGCCCTATTGAACTTTGAGCTCAGACCCCTTTCTCAGTCACTTGGGTTCTTGTGCTGAGGGACAGCAGGAAGGGAGAATAGTCACCATCCTGACAGGAGTCACTAGCCCTGGTCACTGGAAGTTGTAGGGCTGGGGGCTTATGACATATTGGGACAGGATATATATATATAGAACCCAAGTGACCCACTGGGGTATCTCTTTACAGTTTCTGGCCCAAACTTGTCAGCGAATCAACAGGTTTGCAGCCAGAGAATCTGAAGGTCATGGTGACCAAGGGCTCAAAGGATCTGAGTCATGCAACCAAGTAAACTGTCTAGATCAGCAGAGGAACCTGGCAAGGATGAAGGGACGGGGGAGAGGTACAGGTGGATAATGACCTTAATATACAAAGCACGTATAAAAGGATTCAAGCTGGAAAGGTGCAGATGTGAGTGGGTACCGTGGTGTGCACTCCACGTCTCCTCAGGACTAAGGTATGCATCGTCCCAACCAGCTGAATGTGTGGGGAGCTGATGGGCCTTAGCTGAATTCACTTCTGAAAACTGCCCTCAACCAAAGAGCCATTTAACCCAAAGCCATATCTCCCTGGGAGAGCCCCTATTCACCCCCGCCTCAAGACAAGACTGATCTGAAGCGCAGTCTAGCACCAGAGGTCTCGGCAGAGCTGGCTAAGGCTTCCATTGCACTTGCTCTGCAATTCAACGTCTCCCCGTTCAGTCCTGCTTCCCTCACATCTGACAGGTACTGCTCCCTGGCAGGCTGGGCTGCAGGATACACAATCTCCACATGGCTAACTGGACTGCAGTTTTAGGAAATCAGGAGACAGAACCCTGGGGAAAAGTTCCAGTCTCGTGCCTTCATCTGAAATAGGCCTTGTGATTCCTAAGAGAGTTAATGGGCCACTGTAAATGACAAATTCACTTTTATCCAGGGAGGACTGTGGAGCTATTCCTCATTCTGCAAGGATAATCTCTGAACTTCATGAGCCGACTCTCTCAGCTATGTCTTAGAAACTTTGTGACCGCACTCATGTTTACAGAGCTACAGTGTGTCCAATAGTAACCCTATAATTGAAGGCTTTTCCTATTACTCATGTCATAAATTGAGCAACTAATAAGTTGTTGCTATTTATCGATGATTGGTTTGCTGTCGTGGAACACTGATTCCATTGGCAAGGTTATCTAATAATATCAGGTTTATAAAAGGTGAGAATTTTTTTCCATAAGGCTAGAGCTAATAGATGCTTTTTTCTCATTTAGTTGGGATTAAGTTTTATGAATGATAAATTAATTGCATATCATCTACCACACATTTTTTTTCATAAAATAACCAAGCCATTAAAAGACACAACTTAATAACAGTAAGAGGAGTAATAGGAAATTTTCCCCCGCTACAGAGGATGTGTTTTTGCAAGACAGCCAAAGAAGAAACAGGAAGTAAGTCAGCAGAAGCCAGTGAGCCATGTAACCCTAACTGGTCCACACAAAGATTGCCTGAATGGCCTCAACATCATGAACTGATCAGTTCCAAACTCTACTCTTCAAGAACATAAACAATCATAGTTTTAAAGATAATTTAATCCTCACGTGGACCAAAGTTTTTAAGGAAACAATTGTTTGATCATTGGCTAAAACACAAAATGATACAACAAAATTTGAAATACCATTTAATCTATATAAATGTCTTTCAATTCGTACTCAAACATGATGTGTCTCTTTTATTTTATTTATTTATTTATTTATTTGAGACAGAGTCTTGCTCTGTCGCCAGGCTGGAGTGCAGTGGTGCAATCTCGGCTCACTGCAACCTCCACCTCCTGGGTTCAAGCAATTCTCCTGCCTCAGCCTCCCAAGTAGCTGGGACCAGAGGTGACTGCTACCACACACCCGGCTAATTTTTGTATTTTTAGTAAAGATGGGGTTTCATCATGGCCAGGATGGTCTCGATCTCTTGACCTCATTATCTGCCCTCCTTGGCCTTCCAAAGTCCTGGGATTACAGGCATAACCCACGGCGCCCGGCCAAAGACGATGTGTCTTAGTTAAATCATCTGAGCACTCCCAAACCCCTTTTAAGTGCCTAGAGATTAACTGAGCCGTTCAGCTACTGCACAGCCATGGATTAGCTGTAAATATAGAAACAGGATCTGGCTTCTTCAGAAATGTGCTATGATGGATCACAGGGATGTACCCGAAAGAATAGCAGTTGAATATTATAAGATAAAATCAGAAAATTGAAGATACTAAGAGATGAACATTATGTGGATTTTAGAATCGAGATACTGAAAGAATTCAGAAAGAATTCACATACAGTGAGAGAGTTATTCGTATTTTTCTTTGCTAGTATATTTGGCTTCATTAAAGCCCACACTGTTATTTTAATTTGAGTAATACTTCAAATTACTTTCTTTTGAATATATAATGTAATAAAATATATGTGGTTTTATATCTATTTTGTCAAACAGCATTATAAAATGTAAATTATCAGAAAAAATTAAACATAAATTATCTTATTTTGATCATAAAAATAAAAATAAAATCCATATAGTTTATGAATATTTGCCTTACTGAAATCATCACTATGTTTGAGGAAGGAATATTTAAAATAATCTTTAAAAAAATTTAAAGAAGATTATTGCAGCATCTTAGTTAATCTTGGATAAGTACTGGATTTTATTATAGATGGTATCTGCTAAAAAATGTGGTTGAGTAAGAGGAGCACCTTAATCATTTAAGGTGATCATATTCCAGTTAAATGAATTTATAGAATTGAATTCAAAGAGCCTCAACTTTACCTTAACTAACTTGGTGAATAATCTAAATTCTCTTGTTTTGCTTGAAGTTTGTATTCCTAGCCAAAAAATAAAGTAATTGTCCATGCCTTCATTTTCCATGGTTTCAGTTGTCTGTAGTCAACCGAAGTCTAGAAATAGATGAGTATAGTACAACAAGGTATTTTGAGAGAGAGACCTCATTCACGTAACTTTTATTGCAGTATGTTTTTATAACTGGTTTATTTTATTAGTAGTTATGTTGTTAATGTCTTTCTACGTCTAAGTTATAGATTAAGCTTTATCACAGGTATGTATGCATAGGAAAAAGGATAGTATATATAGGGTTTGGTACTACCTGAAGTTTCAGGCAGCCATTGAGGTCTTGGAATTAACCCAAGAGGAGAAGGGAGCTGACTGCCCCTTGTGCATAGCGGGGTCTCCTGGAGGTCAGGGCTATTTGCTACGCATCTTGTGGGCACTGTGTAAACACTTCTTGCAGTTTGAGAAGAAATGGAACCCTTGCATGCAGGCTTCCAAGAAAAGGACAAACAGGTAACTTTGTCATAAAAGTTAGAGTTCAAAGTAATTGCCGTTATTTTATGAACAAAATAAGAATGTTACCTTTTATTGGAGGTCGTTGAATAGAATGCGGAACCAGGAGCCAGGTTCTAGCAAAATCCATTTCAAAATTCTATTTCGGCTCTCAATTTTGAATGGGGACATTGGAACATGTAAGTGACTGTGATTGTAAAATACTTAAAAAAAAAAGTCTGCTGCAAAGTTACTCTTGAATAAAAATAACAAAGGCAATTAATATTTTATTCATGTACCTAAACTCGAGTTCATGTTAATTATACAGACAACTCGGGGTGTGTGGGGGAGGTTATTGTGGACAGCCTAAAAAAATTATCTCTGTAACACATCATGTCCACACCCATCAAATACTAAGTTCCTATTTCTGTTTGTGAAGCAGGCACAGCCTTACTAATGAAAACGATCTCATTTATTCACAAAGTAAACATCATTAGCTGATGATGGGGTTTGGAGCTTCTTTGTTACTCTGGGTCAGTCACCCCCAGAAGCACTCAAACCAGGGCTACATATGTAAAATTGAGTTAATTTAGGAGGGCTTTAAGCGAAGACCAGGAAACATAAAGGTCTAATTAGTAAGATAATGAATAAAGTACAGATGTCCTTCTCTTCTCTAGCATGAACATTTAGAGTGGAACTCTGAAGAAGGAAAGATAAAAAGTGAGAAAGAGTGGGTAAGATGGAAGGAAACCGAAGGAATAAGGGCAGGAAGGCCAGAAAGAAGGAAGGGAACTAAGTGTGCATGTGCCACAGTTACATAGTCAAAGTCTAGCAGAAATACAGACACACAACCCACACAAAGACAGCCTACAGGGCAGACACAAGAATAGAAAGTAGAGACCCACAGAGGGAAAACACAGCAAAATAAAACAAGCACGAACACACACACACAGACAGAACTTCCTCAGTAATATGAGCAATAAAGTAATTTTCTGGCTTTTTAAGTTACTAAGACAAAAGGCATTTTAAAGACCACGTGGCTGTTGTATAACTACTACCATACATGTCAATTTCACTTCCTGACATTTACCTGAATACAGAGGTTTGGCCCCATAAATCTAGTCTCCTTTTTTTTTTAGCTTTTATACACACAAAAAAGCTAGAAACCTACAGATATACACAGGTCTTTACTAAATATGAATACGAATTGTTCAATATTTGAAATGCTTCAATGTATCCTTCTCCACTTCACTAGAACATTGCATGAATCACTTAACAGAACTGCTAACATACTGAAGTAATATTTAAAAGGAGGACCATGTGTTACAGTAGTCATGTGCACACTGAGTTAGCAGGGATCACCTACTTTGATATATTATTATAATTATGTGTATATAAATGTATGTGTAATATCTCTATGTGTGTGTATATGTATATATATGTACATACACAAATCTGTGAAATGTTTCCGCAGCCAAGTATCCTATTGAATTACAAATAACTTGAAACAGAAATAACCTGATAAAGAAGCACTCAGCTGAAAATGAAGCCTGCAAGCTCCACATATCACTTCCTGAAGCTCTAACCCCTCCCACATGCACCTGTGCCTTCCTCCACATGCAACAATAGAGCTACTGATGAACGACACTTCCTCAGGCCCACTTCCTTCCAGCCCCACTGAGGAGCTGTGGGCACCTGGGAGTCAGATAGGATTAGCCCCAACACTATTTCTGCCATGACCTCATTGATACTCATGGGTTCCCTGACGTTTCAGATTCACCAGTGGAAGTGGAAGTGGCCATTTTGCCAGTGCTTACATCCTCGTTGAAGATTCCATCACATAACCTTTTTTTTTTTAACATTTCATATTCTCATTCAGATTATTATAAAACTGCTCTTTCTGAAGAATGCCAAAACCACCCATAACACAATTCTGAGCCAGGATCTGTTCATCTAGACAAGGTGGACAGTAGCACCCACCTCCTGGTACTAAAGATCAAGACAAGGCATTTAAAGATGTCTGCACAGTTTCTGAGACACATGCCTCGCTTCAGGACATGGAAGGGCTCCAGATGCTCAGTTTACCATTTGGCCCTCATGTTGACTGGCTGGACTTCTGGAAGCTATCTTGCAAATGTAAATCATTACTTATAGGGCTGTTCCCTTGGTACACAGGGATTGTGGGAAGAAAAATCTGTCTGCAGCCTTGGTCTGCTGTGTTGCCAAGAAAAATTGCCCTGCATCTGTTATAAATATAGAAATAAACAGAACATCAAAGCTTTATTCATGAAGGCACAAAATTATAAAAATTGAAGACATTTGGTGAATTATAAGCTTTCTTTTGATACATGATTTTCTGTTGCTTTTAAAATATGGGGATATCTTGTTAAACATAGACCAGTAGAAGTCAGTTCAAAGTAATGGAGGGAATTGTGCTTCATATATACTCAAGGAGCAATCTCTATTCCTATATATGCTTGCTCCTTTGACCCCTGGCCACCTAAACCTATAGCAAACCAAGAACCAGGCTTCTGGAAGAGTTTGCCATGCACTCTCGTTTAGCTCATTTGAATGGAGTGCCTGGTTGGTGACAGCAGAATTTCCCTGGGCAAGTTCTCTTCCTTCAAACTCAGGTCAGACCCCCAGCCAGAAATCTGTTTCATAGGAATTACCGCAATGTGTTTTCATGAGTTGTAGGCTGTTAGCTTTCAAAAATTCCTGTGTCTCATTGCAGTGCCTTCTATGGTACTCAGAACACATTTATTCAGATTTTTTTTTCATTAGCTCCCATAATGTGGCAGGCACTATTCTAGATGTTGTGGTTATTATCAATGGGATAAAGAGATTCCTGCTCTCACAAAACATATTCTTATGAAGAAAGACAGATTAAGAATAAAGTAAATAAGTAGTTGGATTGTGTGTCAAAGGTGACAAGTTTTTTTTTTTTTCATAAAAAATAAAACAGAAGGAGAATAACAAAGAAAGCTGGAATAGGGGCTTGTAATTGCAAAGGCTAAGGTCAAGGAAGGTCTTGCTGAGAAGGAGGCATTGAGTAAAGACCTGGTGCAAGTGAGCATGTGAGACTCACGGCTGTGCAGGGAACAACGTTACAGACAGTGGGAACAGCATGCCAAGGCCTGAGGCCTCAGTAGGTCTGGGGTCCCAGTGAGGATTTTAGGTGGGCAGGAGGCAATGAACAGGGCAGGGAGACCAGTCCAGAGTAAAGATGTGTGGTCTTCTCCCTTGAGAAAGGGGAAACTCATTGAAGGGCTCCCAATGGTCTCCTGGAATGAATTTTACATGAGGAAGAACAGACACAGGGAAGCCTGTGAGAAGGTGCTGACAGTAATTCAGGTGAGCGGCGATGGCTTAGGGGCCTGGCGATAGCAGCAGAGGTGGTGAGAAGCACAGATTGTAGATTTGTTCTGAAGTCAGAGCCAGCAGGATGTTTGGACAGGTCGGGTACAGAATCTGAAGAGAAGAGTCAAGGATGCCTCCAGGACTCTTGAACTTTCGCATTTACTGACATGGGAAGGCAGTGGGTGTATGAATTTATAGAAGAAGATGATTTTAATTTTGAATACTCATCAGGGATCCATCTGGAGATGCTGTCTACACAGTTGGTTACATGAGTCTGAAATTCAGGGAAAAGAGGAGACCTGGGGATGTAAAATTACGGACACGCAAATGTACTGCAAACCCCAGTGAGATCACCAAAAGATCACTGCCAAGAGGATTAAGGATGCAAAGGGATCCAAAGAGGATCTTGGGGAATCCAGTGTCAGAGATTAGGATGTTGAGGAACCAGCAAAGATACCTGAGTCCGAGAGGTGGCGGAAACCAGGGAGGTGCAGTGTTGGGAAGCCATGTTTCTCTGACAGTGGCCGGGGGTGTGTGAGCCTTCCAGCTCTTCCTTCAAGAACACGGAGCTTGCTGATCCTACAGGACAGACTGTAGGCTCTGTGTCAGCTTCCAAAGACCAGGAGGATGGCCCACAGGGACTCGGGAGCAATTACCTTGAGGACTTCAAGAAGTGTAGGGGTCTACGTCGCTCTATTCTCACAGGGGCAACCAGGAAGAAGAGAGTTTGCCCTGCGCTGAGACATGGTGGCAAAGGCAAAGAGAACGCCCCCAGGGGCATATTCCAACATTTCCCTAGGCAGGTTTCACTCCCCTGCCCTGATGTTGCAAGAGTCCCTAGAAGAACATTCCCCCTCCCAGCTTTGAGAATCACCTCCAGATGAGCCTGCCCCATGGACGGGAGTGGTTCCTGTGCCTCAGGCAGAGAACCACAGTGAGAATCCTTAAAGAAAACTGCTGTTCAAGAGACTCTTCATCCTAATCTACACCTTCCATAACACCTTCCATGCCTGGCTGCTCAGCTTTCAATTTCATCTAAGTGTTCCTGGGTCCTGGCAGTCACTTGCTTTCTGACCCTGCAGCCTGAGACCATGCCCATCCTCAGACTCCCTGGGCTGAGCCCTTCCTACAAGCAGCTCAGGGATGGGCATTGTGTGCCTTAATTCCAGTTTTGTTTTCTCTCCTCGACTGAAAATGGCCAAATGAGACCAAGACAGACATCAGTAGAATTAAGAGCATCTCCCTTGTATGTCTGATAATTTGATAAAATATACTTATAAAGGAAGACCCTTATTGATTGTAGAAAAATGAGTTAGAAACGATTAAACATAGAATAGGCTGATTTGCAGTTGAGGGGCCAATGGAAACTGTTGGCTAAACAGTCTTGGTTTGAAAGGGGCAGAACTAGGTTGTTACGAGAGTGGGGCTCAGGTGTTCTTATCACAATAAAATAAAATTTTCTTAGAAAAAAAGTAGAGGGACAGCATTAGAGAATGAACTTAAGAATTTGGAAGGAAAGAAGTTGCAGGCACTTTAAAGACAGTTGTGGAGAATCAACATGTTAAATAGAAATGCCTTTATCATGAATTACAAGCTACATTATTTATTCTCAAAACGAACAGGGGTAGATAACGTAAAATCAAATATTTCTCAAGTAACATCATGTACGAGGCCTACACTGGTAAATAAAATAGATTCTTTGTCTTCAAAGAGTAGGCAGCATATTAAAAAGACAAGATTATAGATGATAAATTAAAGTTGTTTTTTTTAAAATATAGCTTGTTCCGTTTTTATTGTCTCCCCAAAGAAACTGTAAAGCCAAAGGCGGAGAATCTGCTTTCTTCTTCTGAATGGGTGGACAGATGGATGACTGAATGACGAAATAGCTACAATTCAAAGTAGTAAGTGTTTTTGAAACAGACAAGTGAAGAAGTGCTTGGGGAATACAATGGGAAAAAGTCTTAGTCTGGGAGGTCATGGAGACACCTTATGGAAAAGATGGTGTCAGTCCCGAGCTGAAAGAATGAGTACAGATTGCATATGTCGAGAGACAAAGGGGAGGATTCTGCCAGGCACCGCCCAGAGCAGAGTGGAGATGGAAAGAGCATTTTATAACGAGAAAAATCAGAAGTAGCTTCAGGTGCAGGATTTCCTCAGAAAATCGGATGGCGATACACTGAAAAAACAAAGTTTGTTGGTGGGCGGGGGGCTTGGGTACGAGGGATTTTCTCCTACAGGGACAAGAACTAAATGAGAAGAAAAATTATGCAAGTAAAAAACCCATATGAAAAGGTAGCAAAGAAGAGTATCAGAGATGAAGATGAACTCAAGACATAGCTGAAAACAGCAAGAGGTTAAACACACATGGGTTGATAATATGAAATAAAATATTTCTCAAGTAACATCATGTACGAGCCCTCCACTGGTAGATAAAATAGATTCTTTGCCTTCAAAAGGTAGGCAGTATATTAAAAAGGCAGAGTTATAGATGACAAAGGTTTTGTAAAGGATATGTTTTGAGATGGAAGGGGCAGGGGGAACCCTGATACCAGGACTCGAAGTGCTAGATGCAAAAAGTTTCATTCCTCAAGAAGGCAGCAAGGCTCAACCTTTGCACACATTACCAAGGTCACACAGCTAGTCAGGGAAACAGCCGTGGAACCCAGGACTGCTATTAACCCAGTGTTCTTTCCACCACACCGACTCTTGACATTTCTGCCAACCTTCATGCCATAGAATTTGACAAACCAGTCAAATCCTAGGCAAGGGTTTGTGGAAGAGTTATGAGGATTTGCCCATTGTGAGGAAATACTGGAAGCCACGGCACATGATGCTTGCTTTGTAGGGAGTCCGTTTGTCAACATTGTGGGACACATTTTATTTCAGTTCACATTTTACACAGGAAAAAAATTTACAAGGTGTCAGAAGCATTATGTTTGCAAACATATAATGTAACTAAAATAAGACCCCAAATAGGTGTAGTTTATGTAAAAGAGAGCAAGAAAGAAAGTGTTCTGCCCAATGATTAAAGTTCACGCATTTCTTCCAGCAGGACTGGGGAGAAATCAGAGAGGCAGTCAAATAATTTTGTTTGCGTTGGAAGTGCCGAAGAGCGCATGAGGGTGAGAAAACTTGGACCAAAGGGAGCAAATGACCCGAGCAAGTCCAAAGGAGCCTCAGGAATTTAGTTCCCAAATTATCAAAGCTGCAAGGGAGCTCTGTGACAGACATATGGAGGCTGGCAGAGACTTCGGATTTTGTGTGAGTCATGTAATTAAATACTCTGAGAACATAATCTAGGTGGCTATAGAGTCATCTGTGGAGGCATACAAAATAGCGTCTTCAAAGTTTCCTTCCTTAAATTCTCTTTTCTGATACACAATGAATGTTTAAGGAAGATCTGGACACTTCCAAGAGGTGGAAACAGAGACTCACAGAAAACGAAAGATTGTGCTTTTGGCCACACTACTGTCAAGATCTGGACGTTTGTTCTGTATTCTGCTGCTCTTCGTCAGGTAGAAATACAAACAATGATTAATATTCCCCAAGAATTCATAGGTCAAGAAAGATGCCAAAGAAACCCAGACTCTTGACTTTTCTACCAACTTGCATACCACCGAAAATTAGCAATGGCGAGAAGAGCTTTTCTAGGTCATTAGTAAAGTCTAACCTAGGGTCTCTGAGATGTGTGCCTCCCAGACTTCCAAACACCCATGAATTTCTTATAAATCTTGTTAAAAGGTGAGAGGGAGCCTCAGAGTCTGCACTTCCAGTGAGCCCCCAGGGGATGCCATGCTTCTGAGCCAGCAGGCTCTGGAGGCACCTCTGAGTCCCAAGCTAGACGTGGTCTCTCCTGCAGCAATGCTACTACATAATTCCCTGGATGTGTTACTGATGCTATGAATTGCATATTACTGCAGC